ATGTTAAAACCCTCTGACAAGAACTATAAAATTCAAATAAACATGTCAGATCAGTTGGATAATCTATCAGTTTCTTAATGTTCTTTTCTTGGAGACATCTCTCTTGAAGCCTTCAGTTGTCCTGTTCCAACCTGGATGTGGGGTTTGGTAGGCAATTTACCTGGGGACATTCCTTTGCCATTACCTGGGAAGCCTATTTTTCTCTTTCTTGGTTTTCTTTCTCATGGAAGATTGGGAAATTTCTTGAGATCTTGTACACAGAAGTGATATTTCACATTTTTAACATCCTCATGAGAACATTCATCCATCAGATCCTGGCCAAATAAAAAACAGTGTGACAGTTCCGGTTTGCTTGTCCTTATGTTACCCTCTTCTTGATTGTTTTTTGGCTGGATAATTCTTTCTAGATTGGAGATTGTTTTCTCTCAGAATTGGAAGACAGTGTTGTATTTCCTTTCAGTTTCTAGTTTCCAGTGTTGACACTGAGAGCTTCAATTGCTGTTCAGATTTCTTTTTTCTTTTTTTAGTAGAGATCTCACTCTATTGTCCATACTAGTGTGTAGTGGCACAATCGTGGCTCATCAAAGACTCCAGCTTCTGGGTTCGAGCAATCCTCCCTCCTCAGCCTCCCAAGAAACTGGGATCACAGGTGCATGTCACCACGTCTGCTAATTTTTTGATTTTTTTGCAGAGATGGGGGTCTCACTATGTTGCCCAGGATGGTCTCAAGCTCCTGGACTCAAGCAATCCTACAGCCTCTGCCTCCTGAAGTGCTGGGATTATAGGCATGAATCACCATGCCCAGCCACTGCTGTTCAGATTCTGATCCTTGGTTTGTGATATATTTTTTCTTTCTAGATCCTTTAAGATTAAGATTTTTTTATTACTGGGGTTCTAAAATTTTAAATAATGTTCTTTGATGAGAGTTATTTTTGTTAATTGGGTTGGGTACTCACTGTGTCCATTTAACATGGAAATTCAAACCTTTCATTTTGGAAAATTTTGGAGAAATTATTTTTTAGTTATTTTATTCCCTTTCATGTTCTCTATACTCTCTTTTTGGGATTCTTGTTAGAAGATGTCAGAACTCCTGGGCTGATCTTTAAGTTTATCTTTTTATGTCCTATTTTTAAATCTCTTTTCCTTTTTGTCCCATTTTCTGAGAGATTTCCTCAATTTTATCTTCATTTTAATTTTAGAAGTCCAGTTGTATTTTTATTTTAAAAAGCCCTTTCTTCTTCTGTACTTTGTTTAAAAATTGGCTTCTTGATCTTAATTCATGGATGTGCTCTCTTCCCTTATTGAGGTTGCTGTGGTTGTTTCTGTTAATGATTTCTTCTGCTTTCTGGATTACTTCTGTTGAGGTCTTCAATACCAGAGGTGTTCTCTCCATGCCTGGTACCTTAGTTCATTTGTTTTGCTATAAAGGATTACCCGAGGCTGAGTAATTCGTAAGAAAAGAGTTTTATTTGGCCCATGGTTCTGCAGACTGTCTAAGGCGCTGGCATCTGCATCTGGTGAGGGTCTTAGACTACTTCCGCTCATGGCAGAAGGCAAAGGGGAATAGGCATCACATGGTAAGAGAGGAGGAAACAGAGAGGGGAGGGAGGTGCTAGGCTCTTTTTAATAATCAGTTCTCTTGAGAACTAATAAAGCAAAAACTTACTCATTACCAGGAGGACAGCACCAAGTCATTCATTAGGTATCCGCCCTTATGACCCAAACACCTACCATTAGGCCCTACCTCCAACATCGAGGATCAAATTTCAACATGTGGTTTGGAGAAGAACAAATATCCAAACTATATCATCTGGTGATCCTTTGAGTCCATTCCTTGGATGCTTTGTGTGTGAGGGCAAGGCTTGTCAATTTTGGGACTCCACAGAACAATAATCCAGAAGGTGCCAGGCAGTTCCATCGGGAGACTCCCACATGTCAGTGTCTGTAGTATTTATCTCTTTGGTTGGGTTCTTTCTATAGGGAAGATTCCGTAATTCTTCTGCCTACTGTAAACTGGGGTGGAGTGAGCAGAGTGGGGTATAATCAGGCTGTTCTCGTTCTGGGAGCTGAGCCAGGAAAATAGGCAGGGGAATCTGATCTTTCAGTTTGGAGTCTTTCTCTAATCCCGCTGTTTCTAGCTCCACACCTAACCCCACCCTCTGCTGTGTCTGGTACCCCTGATCCTGGTGTCTCTTTGGTCAATTTCCCCTGAAAGTAAGCTAACCTTCACCAGATGGAGTAGTTGTGGAGGGACAGTGTCTTCTCTTTTTACTCCCAACTTTCCCTCTGTTTTTTGAGGTTCATGATGCCCTGACCCCAGAGTCTCTCCCAGGCTCTGTGGCTTCTTGTCAGATTCCCATCAGGAGCACATGGGCTTCAGCAGTCTCAGGTTTGCTAAGTCACTTATCACTCATCCATCCACTTTCCACCTTCCAAGGCTGTTGACATTCCTCGACTGCCATTGTCTTGTTTCCAAGTTCCCGTTCTCTTTGTCCTTGTGACTTATATATAAGTCATAGAATTATATGACTTATAAGTTATAAGTTATAGAAACATATAAATGTTTCTACTGTGATCAGTGCATTTTAAAGTTTGTTCAGAGTGCTATGTTTAACCCTAGATAGCCTTTTTTTGAGTGACATCTTCTATTTTCCCCCAAGTTACTCAAGAGTCAAGAGCGTAGAAATGAGACTTTATGTTAAATGATTTTAATGGAAGAAAATAAGGGGACCTATTTCATTTGTTCCTTCATTTATTTTTTCCCAAATATTTACTGAGCACTAATATGTGACCAGAGCTGTGCTAGGTGCTGGGGATATAAAGGCTCAGTAAATATGTGGTATAAATAAAAACTCACAATAGCGTAACCTATATTATAAGAGGAGTATACACAGAGAGCGACGGAAGTATAGAGCAGAATGTCCAAGTCAGCCCAGGGTGGGGGGAAAGGCTTCTGACCCTAGAGCTTAGTTTTGAAGGCTACATTTAAGTTGAAGAAGTAGGGAAAAGGCATTCCAAGCAGAGGAAACTGCATGTGTTCAGGCAAGAAGTCTAGAAAGAGCCTGACATATCGGAGGAATCTCAAGTAGACTGAAATGGCTAGAGCAAAGGCCATGTTGGGGAGGGGCCGAAATAAAACTGTAACAGTCACTGAACTATCCATGTCGGCCAGAGCTTGACCTTGGGCCTGCCAATAAGAGATCCAGAAATCATAATATTTTACTCCCCTGTGAATTTGAGCAAACTTAGAAAAATATTATTTGTAAAATGAGGATAGCATGAAGATTATAGGAAGAGATGAAATATGTAAAATACTGAATCAGTGGTAGGAATGTAAAATATTCTAGTTCTTTCGTGACAAATCGTCTTAAATCTTTCTTCTACTCCCTTGTCTTCTAACAGTTATAAAACAGATTCTGGGATAGCTTAAGTATTAGGAAAATTTTTTTTCTTGTTTCTATTTCTGCCAGGCAAGGATTACTTGAGCATCTTTTAACTGAATATTGTATTTAATCAGCAGATGTAGTGTTTATGAATGCTCAAGCATCTGGGGCATTGTCCTGTAAAGTTTCAGTGATTTCTTGAAAGGCCCTGGGGTGGGACCAAGAGAACTGAATTCTAGTCTCCCCTCCACCACTGACATAGATGTGACCTTGGGCAAGGCCCTCCCCTTGTCTTGGCTTCACTTCCCTCACCTGGCAAACAAGAGGAATTAAATTAGATTACCTTTAAAATTTATTCCAACTCAGAAATTGGATGCAGGGAGCTTTTAGCTGTACTGAAATTAGTATTTTAAAAAAAAGCTAGGAGTTTTGGATTTTATTTTCATATCATACTAAAGAGGGGAAGGCAACTCCTTTCAAATCTTGGCAAACAAGCAGAAGTGAGACGGTTCCATCTCTTCTTACCTTTCCCATCTTCCTTTCAGCTTCCGACTCACACAAACCCCAAAGAAAAATACTGGCACTAAAAAAACACACATTTCAAGTGAATCCCTCTGATATTGTTAAGCTCTGTTGGACAAGTTGGAAGAGCAGGACTCTTAAAAGCCAACTGTTGCGAAAACACATCATCATCATCATCTATAAGATGCTTTCTGATGCATGACTTTAGCTATTTAAATTCCTCCAAGTGACTGGATCAGTAAACCACAACCTTCTGGATGATACTGTCTACTGGTGGCAAGAGAGGGTTTGAGTAAATGACTAGGGTGGGGAATGGCATTTCCCTTTCCTGTGAGGGTTTCTCTAACTCCCTGACCTGAAAGAAGTGTGTTGGAATTTTCTCTGAACAGGCTCTTTTAAAGGCGCAGGAGGTCAGTATCCTGAACAGCCAGACTGGACCGGGATCAAGGGATAAATGAATAGCCCATGAAGAATGTTGATCGACAAATTTAGGCCTCCCGTGGTCCATTGAACAAGACTTTCTTAAGATAAAACAAGCATTCCTCAAACCTCTAGATCTCAATATTAATAATATTAAACTAGCTGATGATTGGATGCAACATGCAAATATCAGTGCTTTTAGCAGTTTCCAAAAAACAGCATAGTGTTTGTGCTCTGTCATCGGTTTAAAGCTGATATTTAAAAATGCTTACGACCAGCAATTTGTATGTTTCCAAAAGAACATGCAGACATTTTTTTTTACACTATCTTTGTAACTTTTTTGTTCTAGCTTAACTTTCTGTCCCAAAATGATCAGAGAGCTCTCAGTGCCAAGAACAGACGTCTGGTTCCATCTGCGTCTTTATCATATCTTCCCTCCCACACGTTTGAAAACTCATCAGGCATTTCTTTCTTTCTTTCTTTCTTTTTTTTTTGTGACCAGAATTTGACATTGAAATTTCTATTTAGCCCAGTCCTCCAGTTCATTTTAACAGATTCATTATTTCAATCTTTTTTTTGTGTGTGAGGACCTACTATGTACTAGGTCCTGACATAAATGGAGATACTATTATATATAATGTGATTTTTAAAAAGTCTTACCTTGAGATTCTGGGCAAGTTTGACTTCTTTTTATTGATGTTCTTTTTTTCTTTCACTTCTCTTCTCTCTCTCCCTCCTCCTCTGCCTTTCCTTCTGTTTCATCTCTCTCTTCCTTTGCGGTTTCCCACTCTTTGGGGAGGGGCAGGATTTCCTGCTGAGAAGTTGGTTGGTTTCTGGGAGGAGTCAGAAGACCTGATTCGGGACTGAAACCAGCTGGTCTGCCACCTGATACAAGTAGGTGAAACCCAGGCCAAGGAAGAAGGCCCTTATGCTAGGACTAAGCTGGCAGCCAGGAGGCGCCTGCAGAAGGAGCCCCAAAAGGAAGCCAGAGTGGGCCTGTCCTGGGCATCAGGCATCAATCAGGACTGCCCAAAGCACAGAGGAGGCCCCGAGGCAGCCCAAGATGGGCATGCTTGGACATGGTCCTGGTTGCCCTGGAGATGTATCCATTACTATTGTTAGCTCTTAACATGGGAAAGGCATACCAGGCAGAGCCGGGGTCCCAATCTTAGCAGGTGTTCACTTTCAGGTTCCTGGCTTTGTCTCAAAGAAAGTTACTGAAGCAAGAACTGGATTTGGGCAGATTTACCTTTTCCACTAGGAAGTAGTGGTGATCCAGTGCCTTCTATGAGGCCTGCATGTCCACACAGTTCTCCATTATAAGTTCCTTAGGGAATAGTGTGTGACTTACAAATAATTATGATGATCTCATCAACAGGGAGTGGAGTGGATGGTAGGGGAAAGATAGGAATCTGCAGTGGGATTCATAAGGGGTAGGGGCAATGATAAATTCCACCTTGATTCTCATCAGTTAATAACAGAGAGCCACATCCTAATTCAGAGGTTTGCATTTTCTGGACTCAGGAATAGAATACAGTGTATCCAAACAAAATTCATTTTATCCCTCTTTCTTTATTCATTTATTCAACAAATATTTAATGAGTACCAACTCTGCCAGGCACCGGGCTAGAGGATGGGTATAGAGTGGTAGCCAAATTAGATGTAGCTGTGCCCCGACAAAGAGTACGACAACATGGTTGTACACTGGCACCTCTGAGATTTGGGGCTATGAGTTTAGAGGAATGACTGGAATTGTTGGGTGCTAATGTTTCCTTTGGAGAAGCACCATTGGACAGATTTTGTAGAGTCATTCCTCTGTTTCTTAGCCAATATGAAACATTGTTTTTTTAATGACTCTTTTGTTTGCAATATGTTCCCAATTCTTAGAGGATAGATGACTTTTGGGTCTTGTGTTTTATTTCAGGGGCCAGTTGTTTTATGTAGAGTTCTATTGATTTCTAGCTTATTTGCTTTCTAAAGTTCTCTGAAAATGTCTGAAAATATTGGATATTTTCAAAGCTGTCAGTTTCACATTTCAGTTACTTTTTTCCTCATTAAATTTTCTAATTCATATTTGAGTCCTTTAAAGGGAAAAAAATAAAGACAAGGTTTCTTTTATTTCAGCTATTGAATCTACTCCAGAATACTCTTTGGAAGTTTCCCGAAGTCTATTTTCACTTCTATTTAGTTTATAATTTTTAATCTTTGTTCAATGTACCTGTACAAGAAAGGTTTCTAAAATTGCTTTTTGTACTGTATTTTCTATTTTTTCTTGTCCTCTGAAGACATTTGTTTTTCATTTTACACATCTGAGTTATTTAAATATTTTCTTTCTTATCCTGCTGCTTTTAAATATTTTTTGTCTAGTAGAGGGACTAACAAGTAACTGAACCTTTATTATAATAAAGTATAAATCTTTAATACAGAACAATAAGTATCTAATAAAACCCTGAATTACATAGCTAATTTCTACCTGGCCTCCTGAGACTTAGGGATATCTTTAATGATAACTTTTAATTTTGCTAAAGGCCAGGGTTTAAATTCAACTTCATTAGAACTGCCTTCTGGATTAGAAATTTTATGATGTGATTGTCCTTTTCCAGAAAAAAACTCTGAAGAAAGGAGTGGCTCATATAGAAGGTCAGATAAAGCTGAGTGAAAAGAGGGAGAGATAAAAAGAGGGTGGGTTTCAGATAGTATGAATCTTTGAGTGAGACCATGCTCAAATTAGAATTTTGCTTTGAAGCTTTAGCATGCCAGTGAAAGAAGCTAACTATTGACTCTTTGGGGTTTTGTCTCCTGATTTTTCTGGGGTTCCTGTTAAATATACTAATTAATTGATTTTGACACGTTGAAAGCTCTAATGATGGCTGTTGTTATCGAACTTACAATTTTTGCTCTTCACCAAAGTAAGTGCAAGAGTTAGGATTGCAGTGCAACTTAATATAGGAAGACCAGAGAGGCCACTGAGTAAGAGTGTGTATCTGTGAGTGGCATCTTTGGTTCCCTTTCTAAGCAAAGGTTAGGGAAGATCACACAATCAATGACTTGACCATCCTTGACCTCGCAACACAGACTAAAGGTGACTTTTCACTTTTATGACAAGACTTATAAAAGTTTTGTAGGAAACCCAAAGATGAGTTTGACCAATTGCCTTTTCCTGAATTGATTTCCTGTCTACTGGACCTCCAACTATTATCACTGGGAAAGAGTTTGGCTGGATTTGTGACTTACTGAGTCGATATCTCCATTCATTCCCTATGAAATCTTCCTTTATTCTTATATCAGAAATAAGACAATTCAGAAAAAAACAAAAACACATAAAATGAAACTTTATAATATAGACAATCAAAAGCAAAAGCAAAGTGAGTAGGAGGGAGAATAAACAGTTTAAAGGTAAAAATATTTATGCCTCCAAAACAAAAGGTCTAATGAACTTATATAAAGACATATATCAAACTATCTAATGGCATACTTCCCACACAAAATGTCAAATGATCTTCTACAAAGACTTATGTCTAATTACTCAATGATACACCTCTCAAACAAAATGCCTAATGACTTTACACAAAGGTCTATAATTATTTACCAGAATGTGGCCCTGTAGACTCAAATTTCTATGTACTTTATACAAAGAGCTAGGTCAGATGATCCTATACAAAGACCTGCTTGGTTACAAATTATAGAAACAATGAGAACTAAATGAAACTAGTTAGAACTCAGCTTATTGTTTAGATTTACTCACCGGACAGCAGATGTGAGGGATAAATGGAATTTGTGCATAAAGAACCCAGTAAGTATATCTGTTGGTCCAGGACTCCTTGAAATACTGCCAAGAGAAGGTCTTTAAAACAGTCACAGTAGAGTCTCCAGAATTGTGAAAGAATGATAAGACCACCACTTAAAGAGTGCAATAAAATGAAAAAAGGTAAACTTATTGCTTATTATAGTAAGGAGGCAAACTTTGCTGCTCAATCTCTCTGAACAGCAGACTGCTGATCTTGTATAGCATTTTAGGGAAGTATGCAGGTCAGAGATTTTATGTACTTTCCAGATATGTAGATTGACAACATCTATAGAATCATGACTACTTGTTGATTGGTTGGCACTCTGAGGTGTATTAAATGGTGTAAGCTCATTCCTGACTGGATGACACAGAAGTGAAGGCTTATCACTAATTGGTTGACTTGTAAAAGTGGGTTACCAGATAAGTTGTCATTGACTGAGCCAATGGGTTTTCTACTAGTTCTGATTTCTGTGACAACAGAACAATCAAACTTTTCCTAAGAATGTGGAAACTTTTACATATTCTCACTTGATACCTACTATTTGTTTTCATTAGAATATAGTGCAAGATGGCAACTAATATAGCTCAAAATTGTATGTTTATTTGTATTAATAGACCAAAGTTTTGTGGTGTTTTGTGAACAGTAAGGTAACTGATAAGTATTTCATTCTGACCAATTTTGAGAACTACTAGGTTTGACCACTAGGTTAAGTTATTTTTTAAAGAGACAAAAGCATTAATTAGATAAACTTAATCAAGAAATAGTATATTTTCTGAATTAAATTGATTACTTTTAATAGTCATTGAGCACAAAGGAAACATTTTTGTCAATGTGCTGAGAAAAAGAACCAAGAGGCATTGGAAACATAAAAAATGGGAGTTCTAGTTAGATAGGCTGGGGTGGAAAATATATCCCCTGTTTGGTGGTTGTACTAGACAAAATCTTAGCATCTTATAATTGCATACAATTTCCAAATTCAGAAATTTTCTCTCCAGTTTATACCATCTGTGGCAGATAATTTCCAGTCTCTGCTTAGATGCTTTAGTAATGGGAATCTTACTATATATAGCAGAGCAATTCATTATGTTTTTAAATTACTTTTGTGTTTTAATGACCTAAGATCTGCCTCCTTGTAATTCTGCTTGCTAGTCCTAGTTCTGGATTTTTGAGTCACACAAAATAAGTCTGCTCTTCTCCAGTAGTATGGCAGTCCTTCAGATATTTGGAGGTAATTGTTATTTAAAGCAACTGAATCTTATATTCTCTGTTGTTCTTCAGTTGTTCTGTATGTGACAGGATTTCTGGACTTTTGTATGTCCTAGTCACTCTACTTGAAGCAGGTTTTTGTTTGACAAGGTTTCTTTTAAAACATTACAATAATAATACCATTTGCTGAAAGTTTACTATATGCAAGGTACTGCTCTAATAACTTTAAGTGTATTATCTCATTTAATTAGCAAAATTACACCCCTGATGAAGGTACCACTTGACAGACGAGGAAGGAATTTAAGTAACTTGATGCAGAAAGTGTAAGTAACTTGTTCCAGATTTTAGAACTACAAATAGGAAAGTCAGGGATGCAAACCCAAGCATATCCAGGCAGTCTGAGTTAACTGCTTTGTTTTCCACCCCAACAGAATGTGAAGAATCACGAAACCACCTACCCTTTTCTTTTTTGGACATTCTACTAATAAAGCATTAATTTGTTTTAGCAGCCCTGTTATAAGCCCTCGTTGGCTTTTATTGAGCTTGTAATCATTGAAAACCCTTAGCTCTGAGCAAAAAGAGCCAAGCTGGAGCCTTTACACTACTTGACTTCAAAATATACTACAAAGCTATATTAACAAAAATAGTATGGTATCAGCATGAAAATAGACACATGGATGGATGAAACAGAATAGAGATCCCATAAATAAATTTGCTCACCTATAGCCAACTAATTTTGACAAAAGTGTCAAGAGCACACATTGGGGAAAAGATAATCTCTTCAATAAATGGTGCTAGGAAAATTAGATATTTACATGAAGAAGAATGAGGCTAGACCCCTACCTCTCATCATATTGAGTTATGTGTTGCATAATGACATCTTCAGTAACAAGAGACTGCATATATGATGGCAGTCTCATAAGATTATAATAATGTATTTTTACTGTACCTTTTTATGTTTAAATATGTTTAGGTACACAAATACTATTGCAATTGCCTACAATTGTGTTACAATTGCATATAGTATTCAGTAAGTAACATACTATAAACATGTGTAGCCTAGGATAGTCTATTCCATATAGCCTAGGTGTGTAGTAGACTATAACTTCTAGGTTTGCATAAGTACACATTATGAGGTTTGCACAATGATGAAATCGTGTAGTTGACACATTTCTCAGATCATATCTCCATTGTTAAGTCACACACAACTGCGTAAAAACAACTCAAAATAGATTAAAGTCTTAAACATTAAACCTGG